TTTGTAACTGAGATACTTCACTCAGCATAATGTCCTCCAGAGTCACCCATTTTGAATAATATTGCATGAGTTCCTTGTTTTTCAATGCAGCTTAGTATTCCATTGTGTGAATATACCACAGCTTCTCTATCCATTCGTTTGTTGATGGGGCTCTCCTTTCATTGTGTGTGGCCAATCAGTTTCCATCCAGCCCATCAAATCCACAGGACTTTCAGTGCTTGATTTTTCAGAAGTAGCTTGCCAGGCGTTTTTTTCTGAGGTTCCTCTGGGTGACCTGGAACCTTTGACCTTTTGGTTAGCAGATGAGCACATTAATTGTCTGCACTATCTAGAAACTTCAGTCGGTCAGTGGTCCCTTTAAGTAATAATGGGAGAATTCGAGAGGGGTCAGGTTGTGTGTGCCCAGCGGCAGTGTGCTGTGCGGTCTGAGGGAGGATTGAAAGGGAGACTGGACCCCAGGGAGGGGGGTGAAAAGGTGCATGAATCTCTGACTTTTGGTCCATTTCTGTCCAGCCTGTCCATTTCTGCCACAGAATGGACTTGTGCTAACTGTGTCTCCACACCTTCCCCAGGTACATGTACCCGTCCATGGACCAGCTGGCTGAAATGCTTCCTGGTGTCCTCCACCAGTTTGGGTAAGAAGAATGATGGATGATCCTTCCAGAAGGGTTAGAGGGAAGGATGATTCCCCGTAAGGTTAGAGTGAGGCATGACGCCCCTCTTCCACTGGGTAACAGTGAGGGATGTCTCCCCCATCACCGGGTAAGACCGAAGGCTGACTCCCCCATTGTTGGATAAGTAGGACACCTGCTCCCCTGCACAGGAGCAGAGAAGGCTCTGCTGGCCTTTAGCAATATGTCCTCTGTCTTAGTATAGATCAGAGTTTAGGGGTTAGGGCCATGAGCAGGGGCACTGGGGGTCTGAGCTCCATTCTTATCTGTCCCCTTGCTGCTGTCTGCTTCTGTGACATCAGCTCCCCTTGGAGAAAATGTCACCTGGTGACCTCCATCCACCCCCTCTTTTATTCCTGCCCGGTTCCTGCTTCCCCTCCCATTCCAGTGGAATATTCCAGATGAGGGTCCCCCGTGTCCTGCCTTCTGCTCCCTGCCCTCATTCCTCCAGTGAGTTGGTCCTCAAGGAGGGTGAGAATGCCTCATGGCTCCTCTCCAATGTCTTCCAAGTCTAAGAATCCAGGATTGAGTCAGGAAGACACTGCAAAGGGCCTTCCCATGAACTTTAGATGGTTTGTTGAGCCCTTGGTGGCAGCCCGGAGGGGAGACAGGCAGAAGGGGCATGCCTCTTCAAGGTTATGGTCTCCATCCAGAACATGATGCAGCTCAAGCCCCTGCAGGCCATGCAGCATGGCCCTGCTCAGTCCACTGCCCAGCCATCCCCAGGGAGGCCTGGGCAGACCTGGATGGAGACGCGGCTCCTTGGAGATCGGAGGAGGAGGGTGTCACGGACATTACTCCTTCCTGCCGTCCCATGATCTGACTTCTGCTTCCAGGCTGAACAGCGTCATCGGCATGGGCACTGGAGCAGGCGCCTACATCCTGACTCGATTTGCTGTGAGTTATTTTAAAATGACATTTTAAATAGCAAAATGGACTCAAGATTAAACATGAAATTTGGAGAAACATAAAAAAAAATCACAAAATGTAAAAGCTACTACCCATCCTTCCATTCATCGCAGAATACTGACATCCTTGTGGTGTGTGGTCTGCACAGTGTGTGAGTGTGTGTGTGTGTGTGTGTGCGCGCATGTGTGTGTGTGTGTAAACACGTGGAGTGCTGCTGCTTCCTATTACTAAAACACAAGAGGGAGGTCTGCTCTTCTGCTCAACTCACTCTAGTCTGCGGTGAACTGTCTTCATGTTCCAGAATCTTCTGCTGCTTTGTAGTAACTCTTCAGGTCACAGTAGCCAGGGTCATCTCCTGAGTTTGGTCTGATGTCTAAAACCAGCAGGACTCGAGACAGAGGACTCCTGCTCACCTCCCGTCTTACCTTGCAGCTCAACAACCCCGAGATGGTGGAGGGGCTGGTCCTCATCAACGTGAACCCCTGTGCGGAAGGCTGGATGGACTGGGCAGCCTCCAAGGTGAGGCTGAGGGTGGTGGGGACCTCGCCTGGTGGGCAGCTGCCCTGGGGGACACTGACAGTTCTTTGTCTTGGGGAGCTGAGCAGTTATGAGACCTCCCTTGACCCCAGCAAGTAAAGCTGGTTTTCTTCTGCTTCGCTGAGAAGAGCAAACAGTTTCTCAGCTGTTGTCCAGTGAGAATATTCACGAAGGACCGTGACATCTGAGGGGAGCTCATTGTGAGCTGTGCTGCTTGCTAATCGTGTGCTTTGGGTTCACCAGCAGCTCTGCAGGAGAGGAAGCCAGGCCCTTTCCTCCTGTAATGATTCTTTGCCTCAGAAACTGATGAAGGGTCGCTATGGGTCAGATGCAGTGGTGGGTTTGTGTGATCTCCAGGAGGGAATCCTCGTGGTGCAATGATTACAGCATCCACCCACCAACAGAAAGGTTGGAGGTTTGGATTCACCAGTCGCTCTGCAGGAGAAAGACAGGGCAGGCTGCATCTATAATCACTCAGTGTGTCCACTTAGCTCACCGCCGTGAATCAGCACTGGGTTTCCGGAGGCTGTAAGTCACACAGGAGGAGTCTGCAGTGGAGCAGCTGGTGGATTCGAACTGCCGAAGTCACGGTCTTCGGTTTAGCAGCGCCACTCCCTGCTTCCTCGCCAAAGCCATGGAGGTCCTGGGGTAGCTCTGCTCTGTCCTGTAGGGTCACTGGGAGCTGGAATTGACTTGATGGCTGTGGATTTGGCTTGGCTTTTAGTGACAACTAAGTCAGAGATGTCCCTGAGCCAGCTTTTGTAAACAGAACTTGGGTTAGTAGTGTTTGTTGGATACTTAGTGTACACAAGCTTTGCCCCAAATGCAAAAGATTATCTAGATGAGCAGAGCAGTAAGTAGACTCTGTTCTCGGTATCCATGTATGAGGGATGGAGCACACACGGACACACATTAACCGATTGCTCCTTTGTGACACAGGATAGTGTCAGGGTTAGGGTTAGGGTTAGGGTCACTTTCTTGGCTGTTCATTGAAAGGTTAGGTTGGGGTTGGGGATGCTGTCCCACCCCGCACTGGGCTGTCTGCCTCAGCCACTCACATTCTCTCACTGCTGTGGGGTCGGTTCTGACTCAGCGACCCTCTGTTGGGTTTCTGTAAATCATAACAGGGAGGGACTGTTCAACTTTCTCCCAAAGAGCTGATGGATTCGAACCACCGAATCAGCCTTTTGATTAGCAGTGCAGCACCAACACACTGCACCTCCAGAGTTCCCTGTATCTACAGGAGCTGGCTCCATTTTTATAGGGGCGGAGGGGTGGGATGGATTCATGCGAGGGTCACAGTGGTTACAGGTGGTCTCCCAGGTGAGCGCGGCACTAGGAGAAGGGGGGCTGCAATGCGTCTCCCGGAGCCCACGGCTGCTGAGGGTCCCCTCCGTGCTGTGCCCGTGGGCTCCTGTGCTGGGCAGGAGACGCTCCCACCACACACTGCACACCCTGCTGGGCCGGGGCTGCTGAGGTCGATCAGAAGCACCTGCTCACAGCTCCTGGTCGGAGATGGTGGAGAAGGGCCCGGGTGATCTGGGGATGCTCGGCTCTGGCTGGTGTCCTGGGCGCCTTGTTTATCTTCTTAAAAGACATAATCATTTTTTCATAAAGGCCCCAGGATTTGCCAGAAGGAGGGGGAACCATTCCAATGGAAATAGAACAAAGCTTTTCAAGCTGCTCCTGACTTCTCATTCTCAAGGAGTGTTTTTGCCAAGTTTGGGGTGACTGGAAGGGGCAGGACTGAGGAAGGCTTGATGGGGTTACACCCTTGTCCCACCCTGTCTGGTCCTGGTCACTCTGATCTTGCATTTCTTCCTGAGGCCCCAGAACTGCAGGACAGCAGGGCACACTCGCTGGCTTGCTGGCTTGGGGCTTGCGTTTTCCGGGAAAAGGCAGTGACGCTGGCTCCCTCAGAGCTGTCCTTTGCCAGAGTGAGGGCCGGGGATACTGACCACTGACTCAAGTGGACCCTGAGGAGTGCTTGTGGGGTCTCATGTCCACACCGTATCTTTTCTTTTAACCCTGTCTTGGGATTGTTGCTTGCTGTCGAGTCAGGATCTTGCTGTGAGTTTTCAGAGGCAGTTAATCACATGGGAGGAGATTGCTGTAGAGACAACTTATTTAAAGGGCCACAGGGCCAGGACACTGGGCATGGGAGGCCAACTCTGGGAACTCTGAAGTCCTCGGAAGAGATGAGCTGTCTGAGATCCAGAGACTCTGCAAATGCCCAGAATCACTGGGCCAAGGTGTGGCAGTCAGGGACCAGCAAGTACTCCCAGATCAGGGGCACCTCTCTCCCACCCGTCCCTGCCCTGTGCTGAAGTCAGTTGGTACACATTTATGGAGCTCCAGCTGGATACCCAGCAGTTATGGAACTCCTGTTGTATACCTAAGGGGCCCTGGTAGTACAGTGCTAACTCAGAGGTTGGTTGTTCAAACCGTCCAGTGGTTTTGCAGGAGGAAGGTGGGCGGTCTCCTCACACAAAGACCCACAGCCTTGGTGACCCGATGGCTTGGCTTGATAGTAGTACATTTTGGGTGTTTAAGCTGTGCACCTAGAGTTTATGCAGTCCTTGCTGCACACCGGACTTTATATCAGGCGTTTATGGAGTGCCTGATGTCTACTTGCTATTTATGGAGCTCCTGCTGTATACTTGGCATTTATGGTGCCCCTGCTGTATACTGGGTACTATCTCCGGGAGAGGTGGAGGGGAAGTCTTGGTCAGCGGAAGCATCTTACATGACCACAGCACATTCACAGAGAGGAAATGGGTTTAGGGGAGAAAAGCCTGAGGGTGATGTGAAGGGGTTGCTGGGGTCTGCACAGATGCTGTGTGCAGACCGGGAGCTCTCTGTGTGGTCAGTGGAGATGGGTGAGGCCTCTGGGGTGTGGGGAGCCTCCTGTGGAGCCCTGGCCGCGGGGGGGCTCTTTGAGTCTCAATTCAGTATGTGAAAGTGGGGACCAGGCCACTCTGCCCCTCCGGCAATGGGGTTGTTTTGTGCTCGTCTTGCTCCTGTTAACACTTGTGACCACCCCTGTCACCCCCTAGATCTCCGGATGGACCCAGGCTCTGCCGGACATGGTGGTGGCCCATCTCTTCGGGAAGGTGAGCATGAAGCCTGCCATGTGGTCATCTGACCAGGGCCCCAACAGCCGGGAGGGTGTGCTGTGGGTTCTGACCCCGGGAAAGGTGTGGCCGCTCCTTCGGTGCCAAGCTCATGGCTGACCTGCTCTGTTGTATGTGGGCTCTAAGCCTGCCCCTCTCCTGCCGTCAGACGACGCCCTGTGGTGGTGGGTCTGCAGTAGCTGGTCTTCCAGCTGGGAGTGACTGCTGGCCAGCTGGGTTTGCTCCTCCTTCCCCATTTGCTCTTCTCTCCAGAGCTTATGATTAGTTTACCCCACCCTGAGTGTGTCATCTGACACCAGTAGGGCCATCCAGCCTCTGTGTCCCTGAGGAGAGGTCCAGTATGGCAGGGGGATCTGCCTGACTGGACCCCCAGTCCTTGGAAATTGGTGGTCAGCGACCATGTCTACCAGTGCCCCAAGTGTCTGAGGTAGTTCTTGGATCTGCAGCCCTAGCCCAAGCCTGATTTCAAGAACCCACCGGCCTCTTTTGCTGGAATGACCATAGATGGTGATGGCAAACAGCCTGGGCTTGACACAGCCTCTCAGTGTCCTCTGCTCCGGGCCCACAGAGCACATCAGATCACCAGTGATGCCCAGCGTCTGCTGGTTTGCAAATGAGACTCACAGGAATCACAGAGCAAACTCAGGGCCTGTTTGTGAGACCCGTGCAACTTCAAAAGAAAGCAGAGCAGAGAGCTTCACAGCCTGGGAGACTCTGTAGGGCACTTCTGCTCTGACCTCCAGAGGCCACGTGAGTCAGAACTGACGCAACAGAATTGACTCATCTGAAAATGCTGCATTATAAGGTGGTTGTTGTTGTTTGGTGCCATTGAGTCAACTATAACTCATAGTGACCCTGTGGACAACAGGTCTGAGCCCTGCCCTATTCTGTGCTGTCCTCATCATCCTGACACGCTTGAGCCCATTGCTGTGTCAGGCCATCTTGTTGAAGGTCTGCCTCTCTGTCTCTGACCGTAAATCTTTCCCAGCTTGATGTCCTTCTCCAAGGACTGTGCCCTCCTGACAACATGCCCAAAGTATGAGATGAAGTCTCACCATTCCTTGCCTTTATAAAGGACTCTGGTTATATTTCCTCCAAGACAGATTTAATTACTCTTTTTTAAAATTTTTTTTTTATTTCAATGGGCATCTACAGAAATTTTGGAATTCCATTTATTATTCATTGTTGCACTTTTCTCCCCGCCCACCCCAGTCCCACCCCCTGTTCGCTCCTCTCCTTGAAAAGCAAAAGAAAAACTCCTTCATTGGTACACAATATCCCCCCGCACACACCCCAACCCCACTCCCACCCCAAATATTATCCACTCTGCAACCTGCATTCCGTTCTCTTATGATAAACATAATGCCCTAAAATTTTGACACATCATGAGATACTGAGTACTCTTCTCCAACACCACACTTTAAAGGCCTTGACTCGTCCTGTTATCCTTATTCATTGTCCAACTTTCAGATACATATTAAATAATTGGAAAGACCATGAATAAGAACAGGTGCACCTTAGCCTTTAAACTGACATCTTTGCTTTTTAACATTTTGGAGAGAGCCTTGACAGCAGATATTCCCAATACAACATGTCTCTTGTTTTCTTGGCTGCAACTGCCATTGATGCTGATTGTTTATCAAAGTAAAACGAAGTCATTGACGATTATAAGGTAGTTCTATGTTAAACTCTTTTCCCCAGGAGCTGTGTCACTTTCCAGTCCCACCAGAAATGAATGAGGGTTCCAGTTTCCCCACATTCTCACCAACAGTTGTTATAGTTACAATTTTTTTAGCTGAAGCTCTCTTAGTGTACCCCCTCTACTTTTGGGGGCCTTAAGGGTCACAGGGCTAAGGGACTTGTCCAGGAAAGAACCAGTGAGACCCCAGGTTCTATCTAGATCCCAGCAGACCAACTGCAAACCAGATGCATTAAGCATGAGTCCTCCCAGGTGCACCTTCTCACCCAGCTGCCCAGAACCTTGTGCACCTCCCCACCTTCCCATCCTGGAGCTGACCTGCTGCACGCAGGGGCCTGTAAGCGAGGCATTCTCACCTTCACTTCTCTCCTGGGTGGTCAGCAGATGTGGGATGCTGTGACCAGCCCAGGTGACAACCTCAGTGAAAGCTCCCCTCTCTTGCCGCAGGAGGAAATGCATAATAACGTGGAGGTGGTCCACACCTACCGCCACCACGTGGTCAACAACATGAACCCCACCAACCTGCATCTGTTCATCAACGCCTACAACAGGTACGGGGTGCCCGCAGCCACAGGACGGCCACGTGCAGGCTCCTGAGGCGCCAGGAACACGGGGCAGGGAGAAGACGGTTAGAAACTTAGCAAAGCAGGAACGCTTCGGGTGGAGAGAAATAAGTGACAGCAGGCCCTTGAACAACATGAATGAGAACTCCACGACCCCACTTTTTCAGGGATTTTTCCCTCTGTTGCTATAGCTTTGAGCTCAAGTGTCACAAATTTCCTTTAAAAAGATCCTAAGATGCTAATTATCTCTGCTGAATGGTTCCTCCCAGTAAATCTCTATCACCCTAAAAGGTGATTAGGAGAATTTCCAATTGTAAATGGGGTTCAGGGTCAGTGCCCTAAACTCTGCCTTGTTCAAGGGTCAACTGTAAAGGGACAGGGTTGCCTGAACGTCCTGGGCTTGGGTTCTGATCACGTGCAAGGAGCTAAGCTCTAGGGACACAAGCACAAGTGGACATAGTCACACCCTTGAGGGGCTGAGAGGTAAGTGTGTTTGCACAGTGCAGACAATAGTGACAAGCCAGATGTCACTTGGAGAGGGACCAGAGCAACAAAGCATTCTGGGATAATAGAGGTAATCCTGGAAGCCTTCCAGGAAGTGGTGTGAGCATACTAGGGGAGATCAAGACCTTAACACAGTCTTTTGGCAAAGATGTAGCCCTCCCAACAATAACTCAGTCCTTGTGTGATGCTCGTTCAGGGGACTGGGCAGGTCAGCCCCACTGCTGGCAGCGGTGGGCTTTGAAATCTTCCATGGCTCACTCAGCCTCCTCGTGGAAGAATTACTCCATCAAGACAGGAGACTCAGTGAGTTAGTTTCCCCTCAAATAACAGTATCTTCACTTGATGAAGAGTGGTTCTGACAGCACAGTGGTTAAAAGTAGTTGGCTGTGAACCAAAAGGTTGGCAGTTCAAAACCATCAGCTGTACTTCATGGGACAGTCAAGACGGTCTGCCACTGCACGTCACCAACACCCGATGTGTCCAGTGGATTCCTACTCGCAGCACCCCTCCACCAGGGTGCCGAGGCTATAAATCTTTACAGGACCTTTCCGTCCTGGAGTGGCTGGTAGATTTGAACTGCCGGCCTTTCTGTTAGCAGGCTGACACATAACGCACTATGCCACAGTGCCCATCATCTCCTTCCATGGAGCCCTGCCCTGTCCTGAGGGTCACTGTGAGTCGGAGATGCGTCCACAGCAGTCAGCTCTCTCTTCATGAGGCCCGTCAGCATTCTGTGCAGGTCTCGCTTCTTAGTGTGAGAGACGACGACTCGCGTCGAGCAGTCTCTGTAGTAACTGTAGAACCGAGGCCTGGCGGCTCAGCTGCCCATCAGGCTGAATTGGGGGTGAGGCAGTCTTGGGCGGCTGTGGGGGAGACATAGGCCCACCACCCCGAAGCCTGCATACCCCTAGTCCTCACAGAGCGGGTGGACCCAGCGATGCCCCCCTGACCCTTTTTATGACGGTGCTGTGATTGTTCCCTGCTGGGGAGGTTGAGGCACAGAGAAGTTCACATTCTACCCCAAGTCACACAAGCTCCTAGATGGTGGGGTGCTGTCTGGATCCAGCCTCTCTGACTCTGGATGGTGAACGGGCAGGTGGCCGAGGGGTGTAGGGCCTGCAGGGGATGAGCTGGGTGCGGCTCGGGCTCGGAATCACCGCACGGTGCAAAGTGACAGCCCAGAAGGTTTGAAACAAGAGTGAAATGACCAAGTTTGGACTGTAAAGCCAGGTTGGGTGGGTGGATAATTTGGGGTGGAGTGAAGGAAAGCAGATAGAAATAGAAACTGGGGCCACTGAGGGAGCTGCACCAGTTAGGGGACAGTGAAGCTGCTGTCCCTGCAACCACTTTTGTGGATGCCAGGAGGCTGGGGTGTTGGGGAGCAGCCCGAGCCCTTGTGCAGGCTGACCAGTGGCAGGTCCTCTCGTCCGAGATGGGGATCTGCTCCAGGGGCGAGTCGTCTGATGCTAACAGTGCTTCCTCCTCTTGCTGTATTGCTGTAGCCGTCGGGACCTGGAGATCGAGCGGCCCATGGCGGGAGTCCACACCGTCACCCTACAGTGAGTACAGCAGCCCCTCCCTGCAGTCAAGCTGTCCCCATCCAGGTAGCAGAGCCTCCTGCCCGAGTGTGGTGGGCATGCCACATCCGTGGGAAGCTCGAGCCAGTGAGGACCACACGTATTATCCCAGGGACTGAGGGGTGTGGTCCGCAGGGCCTCCTCACCTTAATTCCCAGGGAGCCCCTTCCTGGCCGAGACCCTTGATCTCCTTTACCCCCACCAGCTGCTGCGTTAGACTTCCCCTCACTGAATCTAGAGAGCACTGAGTCCCAGGCCCCACCCTGAGATGCTCTGTAAATCTGTGATTCAGCCCCTCACCGCTGGGCGTTTTCACTGTTCCTCAAGTCCGCCCTAAACCTGCCTCCATGCCCTGTCCGTTGCCTGCCATGCTGTTCTTGTCGTGGTTACAAGCCAAGTCCTGCTCTTCCTTCTGTGGAGAGAGTGGGGCTTTACAATAAAGAGCATCTGGGGGAAGAAATGCACTGAAGAATTAACTATGATTTCTGGTTTCTCTAGTGTCCTTTGCTCTCTTCCTGTCCTCCTCTCTCCGTTCTCTGCTTTGCTCTTGGGGTAAAGGGTGGGTAACCATTTTCACTTTGGCATGAATTACGCATTTCTTCACCTGGATTTTATTTATTTTTTAAATCCTGTCCCCAGCATGGTCGATCGGGTAGAGTGTGAGAGTCGTGCAGCGAGCCGTGTGCTAACTCCCCACCCTTCTCTCCTTCCTCCAGGTGCCCTGCCCTCCTGGTGGTTGGGGACAACTCTCCTGCCGTGGACGCTGTGGTAGGTGGAGATGACAGCATGTCTGCTAAGGACCCGCTGCCCCATGGTTTCCTCCCACTCTGTCCTGTTTTCTCTTGTGTGCACTGCAAGTTGGTGTGGCTTGGAAGCTCCTAGAAATCTGGAGAACAAATTTCATAGATAAGAGGGGGAGGGAAGATGCTGTGAGATGTTCTGGTATTTGGGGGTAATTTTTGGAGAAGAAAGGACGTATGAGTTTGGGGATCTTAGACAGTTTCCACTCTGCCTGTGCCCTTGACCACAGCCAAGACTCTCGGCTTCTCTGATCATTGGCTTCCTGTTCTGAAAACGGGTTTACCATTTGTGGAGGGTGTAATGAGACAAGGCAGTGACCACACAATCAGTGATGGCTGGGACTGTCTTGTCTATTTAGGTTAACACTTAAGAATTCTGAGGCCTACTCCAAATGCTTCCATTTGGGTAGGAATAAAAAGAGACCTTCACTGGTCCTCCTTAAGCCAGATGTCCCTCCAGATGTTACCTTTTCTACTGCTTGTACATTCTACTGTGGTCGGGGTGGAAGTTTGCAAAGCACATTAGTTCTCCACTCAACGATTTCTACGCGTTCTGTTTCGGGACGTTGGTTGCAGTCTGTCAATGTGACAGCGCTCATCCTCCCTCCCCAGGGGTTCTCCATCTCTGTTCAGTCTACTTTCTTGGACTTTCGTGCCTTCTCAGCTCTGTTTGGGGCACGTGCTGCCCTTTTAGTCTCTTGTGACAGATTGTTCCAAGGAGCACAGAGTGAAGAAAATAAAAATGTCAAGGACTGCTGTTTTTGCCTACAGCTGGCCCTGCCTATCCTGTTTGTCTGGGGCAGCGAGAGAGCGTGGCTGGGGTGGAGGTGGAAGTGGGCAGTGAGCAGAGCTAGGTGTCCCTGAACTGGGCGATGTGCCCCCTGAGAACCAAGTTCTGGTTGACTCTCTATGCTGTCCCTGTCCTCTAGCCCCCACCAGGGCAGGTGACATCTTTGAAATGTCACATCGGTCTTTGGGCACCGGTCCCAGCCACCAGTTTCCTTCCGTTGTGACTGTCAGGCCTGGTTGCTTGGCAACGGGTGCCCTGTCTCCTCTCCCAGGCCTCTTGCCACCAGCCTGCCCCTCCCTGGCTTGTTTCTATGACTGTTTGACACATGGCTTCTGGGCCTACAGGGTCTCCTTGTGCTCAGGGCTCAGACGGGGCTTTAAGTTCCAGCTGGTGTCTGTTCTCTGATAGGGGAGCAGAGGCTCCTGGGGAGTGGGGCTTAGGCAAGGCTTTCTGCTCCACTTCCCCCCTAAGCCTCACCTGGAGCCAGAGGAAGACTCTTCACTTCCCGTGTCCCCAGCAGGGAGATAGAGACTGAGGGCTGTTGGTCGCCAGAGGGCTTAGATGGGCGGATTTACAGATGTTTATTACGCTGTGGGCTTTCTTAGTGAACCATAGGGTGACCCAGCGGTCATCGTCATGAAGGATGCAGCAAGGGGCTGACAGTTCTCAGTAGGTCCTCTGAGCGTGGTGGATTGCACAGGAGTATTCCATTCCATTCTGGGTGCCGTGTTTAAGAGCCATTAGCAAGGTGAAGAGAGAAGCTAGCTGGTTCGTCATTGAGACGGTTCCAACTCCTAGGCTCTCTGTACAACAGAAGGCGGCCTGCCCAGTTCTGAACCACCACACAGTGCCTGGGCCCCTCCTCCGTCCTTCTCGTCAAGAGTCTTCTTTTTCCAATAATCTCTAACCTTCTCAGCATGATATCTTTGTCCAAGGACTGGCCCCACCTGACATGGCCAAAGTAGATGGTCACCCTCCTTGCCTCGAAGATATACCCTGGCTAGGATCCCTCCAAGACAGATTTGTCTGCTTTTTTGGAAGTCCGTCATATGTTATACTTGATACTGTTCTCCAACACAACAGTTCAAAAGCATTCATTCTGCTTTGGCCTTCCTTACTGGTGGTGGCCCAGTGACAAGAAGCTGTACTTTAATCCCGAAGGCACACAGTTCAAGGCCACCAGCTGCTCCGTGGGAGAAGGATGAGCAATCTCCTCGCGTGTAATTAACTGCCTCTGAGACCCCACTGGAAGGTCAACTGTGGATCCATTCTGACGCTACAATACACAACAACTTCCACCAGCGTAGATGCAATTAAAAATTCCAAAGCTTGTGTCCGGCACACCCAAGTATCTAAAGACAGTTTGATGGGTGTGATTTCATAGGAAGAAGAGTTGCTGGAATCAGGGTACTGAACCTGTAAATCATATGCAGTATATGGTTGGCCAAGGTTATTCAGTTAACTGACAACTCCGGAGCATATTCTACCTTTCCGATAATCTTTAGAACAACTCTTTGGAAAAGACAAAATCCACACGTTCTTAGTGAGGAAATGGAGACTCTAATCAGGAAGTTGTCTGAGAACACAGAGCTAACCCTAACTTGTTGTTTGGATGCCGTTGAGTATGACTCAAAGTGACCCTGTGATCGACAGACCTGAACCCTGTCCTATCCGCTGCTGTCCTCATTCTGACATATTCAAGTCCGTTACAGCAGTCACCGTGTCAATCCATCTTGTTGAGGGTCTTCCTCTCTCGCAATAACCATTCACCTTTCCAAGCATGTCTCTAGGAACAGCCCCTCCTAACAAAATGCCCAAGGTACATGAGACGACACTTGGTCATCTTTGCCATCAAGAAGCTCTGTGGATGGTATACTTTCTCCAGAACATGTACGTTTGTTCTGTAGTCAGTCATGGGATGGTCAGTACTCTTCTCCAGCACCCCAGCTCAAAGGCATCAGTTCTTCTGTCATCCTTATCCATTGTCCGGCTCTCAGAGCTGGGATTGAAACCCGTACTCGTTTGATTCCCACATGCTTTCTTCTGTACGCACAGAAGGTGATAATGGCCGAGTGCAGGAAGAAAGCTAGTAAGTAACCTTTGCTCTGGGTAGAACATTTATATGCTTTTCCTCTCTCTCTTAAACAGGTGGAATGCAACTCTAAACTGGACCCCACAAAGACCACTCTTCTCAAGGTATGGGGAGCAATGGGCATTGCCTTTCCCTGGGGTGTCCCATTCACTGCTCACCCTCATCATTCTTTGCTCTCTCTCTCTCTTGTAGATGGCGGACTGTGGGGGTCTCCCTCAGATCTCCCAGGTGAGTCGTGCTGGGGGCTTCAGTACCTCAGCCACTCCCCAGCCAGGCTGTCCCTTCTCCACCAGTCCTCCTGTGTGCCCGCCCTCAGTCACCATGACATCCGGTGACAGTTTGTGGACAGGTTACTGCTGTAGAAGCAGTTGACTTGAGCCTCCAGTAATCCCCATGGCATAGATGCTACTAGAGGGCACAGGTCCAGGGGTCCACATGAGTGACCGCAGGCGGGGCTCCATGTGGGTGTTGGTGACCTGGGCCTCCAGTTGGTGGTCTGAGACTAACAGAACCTCTCCTTCTTTCTTCTTGCAGCCGGCCAAGCTTGCTGAGGCCTTCAAGTACTTTGTACAGGGCATGGGCTACAGTAAGTACCACACTGACCAGCTTGGGTCAGGTCACAGGCTTATGGGGCAACTTTGAGTCAGATTTGGATGAATATTTGGCCTGATGGACTCCAGCTCTTTGTAAAGTGGGTGGGGCAGGGGAAGAACATTTAGACATATAGTCTAAATATATACCTATAAATAGTCTAACTATATAACATATAGTGTTATATGGGCACCAAGCTAGCGGTTCTGGACTCTTTTCCCCATCATGGTTCCTGTAGTCTCTGTTGATGAGCAGAGGTATGGCGCCCTCACGTAGGTTAAGCCCTCCTAGGTTTAGAAATCAACAAAGAGGCAATGAAACAGTTGACATATTTTTTTAAGTTTGATTACATGCTTCTGAAGCGCCTATGAGGAGATAGTGGTGACGGTGACAATCAGGAGGAAGGTGGTGAAGATAGTGGTGGTGGAGATGGTTATGAGGAAGGTGAGGAAGACAGTGATGACGATGGTGGTTATGAGGAAGGTGAGGAAGATGACGATGGTGATTACGATTGTGAAGAGTGAAGAAAATGGTTATGAAGAAGGTGATGACTACAGCCAGGAGAAGATAAAATAGATGAATGGGAATAGAAGAATCAAATCCCTATGCACACCCAAAAACTTCTCCAACAGGGCAAAAACACTGGGAAAAAGTATTTGGTAATGACATGCCAGTTAAGGGACTTGTATCTGGAATTTATAAAATACTTGAGCATCACAATAAGATAAAGGTAAATAATCCAACAGAAGAATGGACACAGGATATGAAGAGAAGACATTCAGATGGCTAACAAGCACATGAAGAAATGTTCAAAATCCCTAGCTCTAAGAGAGATGCAAATCAAAACAACTATGAGATAGCATCTCACCCCAGTCAGAATAGCAAAATTTAACAGAACAGCAAGCAACAAATGCTGGCGAGGTTGTGGAGAAACTAGAACCCTTATTCACTGTTGGTGGGAGTGTAAAATGGTGCAGCCACTGTGGAAGGCGGTTTGGCGCTTTCTCAAAAAGTTGCAAATAGAGATACCATTTGACCCAGCAATTCCATTACTGCGAATATACCCCAAAGAGACCTTAACTGACATTCAAGCAGATATATGCATACCCATGTTTATCGTGACTTTGTTCACAATAGCATGGAGTTGGAAACACCCTAAGTGCCCATCAACAAGCGAATGGATAGAGAAGCTTTGGTATAGAGTCACACAATGGAATACTACACTGCATTGAAAAACAAGAAACTCATGCAATATTATTCAAAATGGGTGACTCTGGAGGACATTATGCTGAGTGAAATATCTGAGTCACAAAAGGACAAATACTGCATGGTGCCACTGTTGTAAAACAGGACTGACCTCAGGGTTGGGGAGAGACTGAGAAAGATGGGTTCAATAATGTATACTGCTTTGAAACTGATGAGGGAGAAAACTGTTTAAAAGGGATATGTGATTAGGTATTTTTGTCATGACGAGAGTCCAGAGCGAAGGCTGCATAGTGGAGTGGACCTGGGGGGAGGGATTGTAAAACAATGAAAGAATTTTACTTTTTCAAGAGGGTAGTGTACTTGGGGGGAGGGTTGGGAGGGGAGAAAAGTGCAACAATGACTGAATGAAAAGCCAAAGTCTCTGTAAATTTCCATTGAAATTAATAAAGGTGATGACGATGGTGGTGATGACGATGGTGGTGATGACAGTGTTTATAGGAAAGGAAGTGAAGGTGATGTTTATGAAGAAATTGGTAAAGATGGTTATGAGGAAGGTAGTAACGATGATTGCGGCAGGTGAGGAAGTGAGGAAGATGCTGGTGATAGTAATTATGAGGAAGACAGTGATGGCGATGAAGATGAGGAATGGATGATGATGATGGTGACGATGGCTCTGAAGGAGGTGTTGAAGATGGTGGTCATGGTAGTGGTTACAGGAAGGTCATGATGGTGATGATGATGGCGGTGAGGAAGAAGGGGGCGAAGGTGGTTACAGTGGTTATGAGGAAGATGATGAAGATGATGGTGATGTTGGTGACGAGGAGGGTGGTGGTGATGGCAGTTGTTAGTGGTCATACTGGCAGTAGGGAGGGGGGCAATAAAGGCTTATTGGTAAATCCTTTTTTCTCTCACTTGATCCTCGTGACCACCTGTTGAGAATAGCTTCAGAGAGTAAACTGATGAGAGGGGGCCTCTGTGCGATTTCTCAGAAAGTGATCAAGTTGTCTACATTGAAAACATGTTACGTGGTATTGGAGCCTTTGTGGCAATGTTAAGAGCCTCATGCCAATGGCTAAGAACTTGACTGCGAGCTGAAAGGTTGGCAGTTTGAACCCAGAGCTTCCGAAAGAGAAACACCGAGTGATTTGCTCTCATAAAGATTATAAATAGAAAGCCTCGTGGACAATTCTCTGTTCCACTTGTTGCTAGGAGTAGGCTTGACGGTTCAGCAGTGCATTTGGCATTTGGTTTTGATTTATCATGTAGCTTAATCTTCAGATGTGAGCATCTAAGAGTAAGTGGAATTCATGAATTTGCTACTTCTTGCATTGTGTTGGAATTTGTTGTTTTTTGGGGTTTTTTTATTAGCTTTATTTTCAGAGATACTGTTCCATGCCTAGGACAAACAAAGCTACATTCAGACCTCAGTGTTGACTGGCAGCCACGGTCAGTGCTGGTTCAGCACGTTCGTCTCTGTTGTGGTTCTTTCTGCCGACTACTTGCAATTATAATCTCTGCATCCATTTGAACTTGGAAAGCTTTAAGCTTCCACCCTCTTTGGGTTTTTGTTTGTTTGTTCTGCTTTATTTGAAATAGTGATGAGTGGGTGGCCATCTAAGGTCTCTCTCCGTCTGTAGCAAGGAAGAAGGAAGAGAGTCAGACGATTAATGCAGAGAACTAATGTTGTTGCTGTTGTTCTTGGGGCCGTCAAGTCAACGATGACTCATCAGAACCCCACAGCCACAGATCTGAATCTTCCCCAGTCTGTGCCTTTCTTGTGCTTTCTCTCATGCTCAAGCCCATTGTAGGAGTCAAGGTGTCAATCCACCGCATCGAGGAGCTTCCTCTCTTCCTAACCCACCACCTTTCTTATCATAATGTCTCTATTAAAGACTGGTTCCTTCTGAACGTATACAGTAAATGAGACAACATTTCACCATATTTGCCCCTAGAGAACACTCTGGCTACACTTTCTTCAAGACAGATTTGTAAGGTGGTGAGTAACACCAGGATTCTCCTTAGAACAACCAGACAAAATCCAAAGGGTAGGATTTGCCCAGGGACAGAGCTCCGAAGGTGGGCAGCAATTAGGAGGAGGGACAAATGAAAGAGTGAAACTCGGCCAGGAAGTGGGGAGTGTGCCGCTTGGTGTAGACTTGGCCGTGTGTGTCATCAGCCGTTAATATGAGTGGTTGAGTGGAAAGCCAGTTTAGTCTGTCAGTACTCACCGATACACAACAAAAAGGTTATTTTTCTTTTGTAGAAGAGGAAAAATGCAAATAATCTCAGTAAAATATTTGCTGTAACTTAAAAACAAAATAAAACCCATGATTGGCATGTTTGCTAAACCACATTCAGTCTTCAGAATGGCCCTGGCGACACCTCATTTCCAGTGACTGTGACACACAGGGAGGGAACATGTCCACCTTCTGTGCTTCCAGAGGGAGCCTTGACCCAAGGTGCCCTCTTCCAACAGAGCCCAGTTTCCAGGGGGCCTCCTGCCCTTCTAGCACTTTCTCGGTGGGCTGAGCATGCTGGCCAAGGCAGTAACTGGAGAAAGCCGCGTCTAGCCTTGCTGACCTGTGGGGCGTGCATTGCTGCACATTTCTCTTGGACCTGCTGTGGTTTTGGATTTCTGCTTTGAAAGTGTATTCTGAGGAGAACGGAAGTGCAAGCCAGGCCTTGTTTGTTTCTTTTCCCCTCAAATATGCTTCTATTTCCAGGAATCGTCTGAAGTGCCCTACAGGTTATGAGGAGAGACAGGGGAAGCATCACAATTTCAAAGACTCCAGCACAGAGATGACCCATTGATCCATTGCCACAGACCTGTTACCCCTCACAGTTGCCCTACAGTAGAGTACAACCGCCCTTGGGGTTTATAAGACTTGTTTGTCTTTGCAGAAAAGACTGCCACCCATCTAGAGAGACTGATGGGTTTGAACCGCAGACCTTTTGGTGAGCAGACAAGCAGTAAACCACTGTGTCACCAAAAGCTGCCACTAAAGACCACGCCTTTGGGTTGATTTCAAATCATGGTGGCCCTATAGGTCAGGGCGCACCTGCCAGAGGTTCTAAGCCTCTAAGTCTTTCCATGTGTGGACTGTTTCATCTTTCTCCCATGAGCCAAGAGCTTGACAGTAGGTGGTAGACCAGGCCCAGGTAGACCTTTGCCTATGCGCCATCAGTTCAAGCCTCAGGCAACTCACAATGTATTCATGATGCACCGTGCGGCCAGAGCCCACCCAGCCAGTGTTGGCAGTTACTGTATAGACGGTGGTGGTGGTTGGCAGAGAGCTGGTTTGGGTTTGGGCTCGTATCGGTGCCAGGTGTGTGGCATACAACTGCTCCATTCAAGGCTTGAGTCCTTTGCACAGATTGTCAGGTGCCGTGAATAATGCGAATGAAGTACATTCAGAGGATGATGGAATTGGGGTTCCAACCTGGCTCTGTGTTGTAGTCACTTCCAGAGTGATTTTAAGTCTCCTCACCTCTGTGGATGGTCACAGGGACCTCGGAAGCCATTAACGGTGGGATCAGAACAGAATGCTGCCAGTTGGGCATCGTGGGTCACTACCAGAGACCTGGCCCAGCGCTCGCTGTCTCCCACTTCTAACCATCAGTCTCTGTTTTTCTCTCTCTCCAGTGCCCTCTGCCAGCATGACCCGCTTGATGCGGTCCCGCACGGCCTCAGGGTCCAGCGTCAGCTCCCTGGATGGTGCCCGCAGCCGCTCCCACACCAGCGAGGGTTCTCGCAGCCGCTCGCACACCAGCGAAGGTGCCCGCCTGGACATCACTCCCAGCTCCGCCACCACCAGGAACAGTGCGGGGCCCAAGTCTATGGAGGTGTCCTGCTAGGCAGCCTCACACCCGACCCGGACTCAGATCTGTAGCAGCCCCCTGCCCCCGGCCCCTTCCCAGCCCCTGCCTGCTCACAGCACATAACTTGGCATTAATCCAAAGCTTATTTTCCAAGCGTGAGCTCTGGTGATGACAAGCATAGATGGGTTTGGGGCGAGGCTTTCTGAGGCGGGCATGGGTGGAAGGGAAACCAGCATCTCAGCAGTTCGCTTCATTAACCAGTGGCCTATGGCCACCTTCCCGTCCTCCCTCAGAACCGAGCTGCCCCAAGCAAGAAACCTAGCTGTAAACTCATCCCAAACCCATCTTGGCCCACCCAGGTGTCCTGCTCAAAGAGACACTTGGTCAGAAGGCCAACCCACCCACTTTCCATTTCCTTTCCAACCTAGAAAACAACCAAACCACCAGTTTCTGGAAGGAAACCACTTTGGGATGTGGGAAGGGGAAGAGCCGCAATCTGCAGCTCGTGCTTTTATCAGAACAGGAAAAGAGAGAAAGGATGGGATTCATGGTGAGGCACTAACGTGTTTGGAAAACAGTTTGGGGTTGTGAATTTGTACATGTTAGTGCCTCAGTCTATGATTCTGTGCTTCTGGGATCCTTTAATGGCATCCTTCAAAACCGGTACAACCAGGTTGCTGCCTTGGCGAGCAGTCGGGCTGGTTTCCAGCAGTAGCTCTGCGCTCTGTCTCTTTCCCCAAGCGCCCACCTCCCACCCTGACACATGCCTGAGTGACTGCTCGTTTGCTGGGAAGAGGGGTGCATAGATAGAGAGATGCATTCTCAAGCAGAGCAGAGCATTCCGGTCAGCTGCCCAGGCCGTGAGGTCTGTGTGCAGGGAAGAAGGGGCGTGAGAGGCGGTATCCTGGGGTTACTAGATGTAAGTGTTCCTTCCGGTTATAATGGAGCCAGTCAAGTTGTCACTCAGCAGCTCCAAGTTCTCAGGAATCCCATGTGATTCCCATTCAGCTTCCCACCTGTGACAACTAGAATGTCATTGGAACTCAATGGCTGTGTCGTGACCTGACCCCATTGCTGTATCTTCACAGAACAGTTTGCTCTGGGGAGGGGTGGCTGAGAAGGTCTAAGGAAGTTAGAATAGAGTCCCATAGAGCCTTCCTTCCCTTCCTGCTGCCCCTCTTCCCTGCCCCTCTAACTTCCTGTCACGGCATGGGGTGGCCCCACACCTGAGCTGGGCATCAGCGTTCCCATACTACTCTACTGCCTTTTGACCTTCATTCTGGCTAACCTGCGATTTTCATATGAAACGTTTGATCAGAGTGAATTGAATGTTAGGACTCAGCCGCTGGGGACACTTGAGTTGGTAGAAAGACATGATCAAGTCTCCTGGGTCCCTTGAGGAGCAGTGACTCAGTTTACCTAGCACTGTGGGGCTCCCTCTGACCTGTGGAGAAAGGTCAGAGACATGGGTGAGAGTGGCTGAGTCAAGTCAGGAATCTGATGTGTACAAGGCGTCCCAGAGGGATTTCTTAAGGAGATATTTGTATTTATTTCCACACCAATAAATTTGTAACTTTGCAGCGGTTTGTGTCTTTTTTTCCACTGAGAGGTGGTATGGGAGTCACTAGTCCTTGATACCTGGGGCCCTTATACTTTGAATTCTTTGCTTAACAGTGGAGATGTTCAGTAGAAATCTGTTGTAAGCCGTATATTGTTGTTGCTATGTGCCATTGAGTCACTTGTGACTCATAGCGACCCTGTGTACAAGAGCCCTAAATGCTGCTCTATCCTGTGCCAAACTTGCCGTCTCAAACACACTCATTCCCACCACCCCAATCACAGAATTGATCCATCTCATCGAGGGTCCTCCTCTCCTGCGCTGTCCCTCCACTCTCCCAAACATGATGTCCCTCTCCAAGGACTAATCCATCCTTGTAACATGCCCAAAGTATGTCAGATGAAGCTTCAGAATCCTTGACTCCAAGGAGCATTCGGCTTTTCCCTCTCCAGGACAAACCAGTTTGTTCTAGCAGTCCATGGTATATTCCACACTCTTCTCCAGCACCACAGCTCAAAGGCATCAATTCTCTTTCTATCATCCCTAGTCACTGTCCAACTCTCTAATGCATAGCATGTAATTGTGAAGACTATAGCCTGCATCGGGTGCACCTTAGTCTCCAGCCTGACAGCATTGCTCTTCAGTACTCTTGAGAGGTCCGTATATGCTGCTTTAAATTTTCCAATCCCCCAGGATCCAATTATCCTCCAGTCGAGTCTGACTCATTCATCCAAACCTGCACGTGTCAGAGCAGGGCTCATTTTTCAGGGGTAGATCAGCAGACCTTTCTTCTGAAGTGTCTCTGAGTGGACTTGTTGTTCCGTGCCATTGACTAGATTCCAGCTCATAGTGACCCAGTGTGACAGGGTTTCCAAGGCTCTGATCTTAGTGTGAACCAATGTCCAAGTTTTTTTCTCTCACGGAGCTGCTTCTTGGTAGGTTCAAACCACTGACATTTTGGCTGACAGCTGAGTGCTTAACCATTGCACCACCATGGTTACTGATACTAAACCCACTACCGTTGGCCTTTTCAGCTCGTGGTGACGCTCCATCGCGTTTCTGAATCTGTAAATCTTGACAGGTGGGGGCTATTCCTTTTTCTCCTGTGACCTCTCATCAACCAAGCTCCTCAAAGAAAACAAACCCATGTTATTGTTTGGTGCCACCACATAGACTCCGACTCATAATAACCTAATGTGACAGGGGCTGGTGGATCCAAACCGCTGGCCTTACAGTGAGCAGCTCATAGCGAAATGCACTGGGCCACCGAGGCTGTGTAGGGTTCCTCAGAGTTAAGTGCAATTATCATATGCTGGCATTGTGACATGTGCTGCTTCACGGCAAGTTAAACAGGCCTAGGGGCCAGTGTCATGGTCATTTCACATGGTGATGAGCATCGATGGTCTCTTGAAAAACTTGCCACAGTTGTGGTAGAAAAATACTTGCCATTTCAGCTGGTGGTGGTCTTATTGGGTTGCCCATGTGTATACAGAAGAAAATGCTCATTTTACCTACTACCTGTTCATTGCGAGAGAGTGGAACCGAGTCATAGCTGACCCTCCAGCAGGTTTTCTGAGGCTGTAAACGCCTTCGACGGAGCTGGCTCCTCTTTCTCTCTCAGGGCTGTGGGAGGATTTGAGCTGCCAGAGAAGTAGAGCCTTTTTATTAGCAATGAACCTCTACAGACTTCACTGCCAGAGCACCCACGGTTTCAACTGTTGTTATGTGCTATCAAGTCAGAGCCCACTCATAGCTGATACCGCAGTGGGTTTTCAGAGGCAGTAAATCACACAGGAGGAGACGGACCATCTTTCCCCAGGAGTACCTGGAACTCAACTTCCTCATTACGCCACCAGAGCTCCCTTGTTGTTAGATGCCATCGGGTGTGACTCATAGAACCCTGTGAACAACAGCCCTGAACTCCGCCCTGTGCCATCCTCATCCTCTCCGATACACTGGAGCCCATTGCTGCAGTCACTGGGTCAATCCACCTCCTTGGGGTCTTCCTCGCTCTCACTGACCCTCCACCTCTCTAAGCCTTCTATCCCTTTCCAAGGAAGAACCACTCTGAGCAACGTGCCCAAGTGTGAGAGACTAACTTTCATCATTCTTGCTTCTAAGGATCACTCTGGCTGAGCCTTGAGTCTGGTGGTAACTGGGATTAAATATGTTTTGTTTTGTTTTGTTTTAAATAAGACAAGAAGGAAATACAATGACTGCAAAGTGAGGATTATGGAATTGCTAAATGGGTGTTGGTGGAGCTAGCTGGTTACCACCAGAGCAGAGGGTGTGAGCATGGTCAGGGGACTGCCCCTGAGACCCGATGCCTTCAGGGTCGGTTCTGCAGCGCCCAGGTGTCCCGAGGACTGAGTTGCTCCAGGTGCCCACATGCACTGTGTGCTATTTTGAGAACACTGTGGACAGTCTATTTTGCGTGCTGGGGCGCTTTTTCTGTTCTCATCACTGCTGGTTTTGGTTTTGATCTGGCCCTTGGGGTTTGGCCACAGCTGGGAGGTCACGTCTGCACTGTGATTAGCCAGGTGTAGAATCTATAGCAAGGCCAAGGCCCCCACCTGCCCGTCCTCGGGCACCACACTGCTACCGGAATTGCTGGGCTGGCCCTGGACAAAGCCTAAAACCTCATTACATTTTACTTTTGAGGATCCTATGACTGCACAGAAGCCCCTCAAATGTGTTTCATGTAGAATCCACAGACAGAACCTGGAACCTGATATTTTGCGGTTGGGAATGGGATTGGGGAAGGGTGTGGTGGGCATGTCAGCCACTTCTCTAACATCAGATTCACTACTCCTGGGGTTAAAATGAGACCTTCACCCAACAACCCACTACATGACTTTCTTGGGCCCTAACTCAAACTGGTGCCTGTCTTTCTTTTTTTAATTTTTATTTTATTATTTTGTGTGTGTGCCATCAAATCGGATCTGACTGGTACAGGAGGAGATTGTCCCTCCTTCTCCAGCAGAGCATCTGGTGAATTTGAACCATGTGTCTCTGAGATTGCAGTGTAGCTTCTTGCCACTAGGCCACCAGAGCTCCCTAAAAGATTTTATTTTATTTTTATTATTTGTGTGTGTACCGTCAAATCAGACTTGACTGGTACAGGAGGAGATTGTTCCTCCTTCTCCAGCAAAGCATCTGGTGGATTTGAACAGCATACCTCTGGGATTGCAGTGCAGCTTCTTGCCACTAGGCCACCAGAGCTCGTCTGGTGCCTGTCTTTCAAGAGGAACAATCTTATTGGCCCAGTTTGCTCAAGTGCCCACTTCCTGTCCAATCAGTGATGACTGGCTACTCCGCCCTCAATACACAGCAGAGTCTGCAAGGAATGAAAGAACCGCTGTGTTGGGTGAACTAGCTGGTGAACAATTAGGAATGTTGGTGGTGCAGTGGATACATGTTGGCTTTCAACTGAAAGGACGATGGTTCAAATCCACCAGTCTCCTCCCACTAAGTTTAC